ATCTGCTGAACTAAAAGAGCCGTGGTTCATTTCTATCAGCCTTCATACAGCTCAAGAGCTATAAAAAATGTCTAAAAATATTGTGCAGCACTTTCTTCCATCTGAAATGGTACTTGCAAGTTCAGATTTCTCAGCACTTCCACATGACTAAGAGTGAGCGTTGGAAACAGGAGATGTCCTGTGCTTACTGGCAGTCTCCCCCTCCAGCCCTCCGCCCAAACTTGCCTCTCCATGGATCTTGGCAGGGTGAACAGGGAGGGGGAGCCTGCGGACCTGAACGTACCCACTCAGGGAAGTAGGAAGAGTTGCCTCCTGGTGACTGGTATTTCACTGGCTCTTTGCACGGGTTTACAGCTTGGGACATCAGCAAAGATTTTCAGGAAGAATGCGGTGGCAGGCAGCTGGTGCTGCTAAAAGTGCTTGATTAATTAATTAATCACATGTCTCTGTAATTTACAGTACTCAGAACCACCATAGTATATGGATACAGAAATAAAAGTTCGACATAAACTCGAGTTTACCAAGTTTCTAGTGGTCTCTTGATGGAATGGTACAAGGGTCGGTTATTGTAGCAGCACAGGGAGTTTGTTTCCGAGAGCAGTGCATTGCGCTGTCCTTTCAGGAAGGGAGGATGGTTCATTTGCAGATGAGACCATCTGTGGAGCTGAATATCAGGGATGGCACATACTGGAAAGTTCAATCTGCCTTGAAAAGACCCCTGGGTCTGCTTCAGTATGATCACAGAGGAAAGACAAGATCTCCTTTATCTGATCTTTGTAGCCCGTGACTTAAAAACTCTCTCTCCTCACCAGAAGCCTTACAGCATTTTCAGCATTATGGAACGGGCCTGCGTTTTTAGCATAGTAAATAATTTTCTTCCAAGCAATTAGCATGTCTACCTGATACTTGGCTCATGCAAATATGTCAGCTGTGCCACTGATCTGCAGATTGGGTGGAACTTTGATAATTATAGATAATTACAATGATCAATTACAGATAATTATGGAACAGCAGGCTAAATTCCTCTCTGTGGTTGCCCCACTTAACCCTGATGGTGTTAGCCGGGGTTTGAGTGTGAAGCAAAGCTTCAGCCTCTGCATCCTGCAGTCTGCTTGTGAGTAAACACAGCTTTGTAGGTCAGGAGTTCATCAGTTACAGCATCAACCACATCTTAATGCCCGAGATCCTGGCCGACACATCACTGACGGATATGGCCCTATTATTAGGGATATAGCCAATCTTCCACCTTCAAAAGGCTTCCCACAAGAAAGAGCATCATTACAAAAATAGAGCAGGCTGAGTTTAAGAGAAAGCTGAAACTTAAAAGCAGTGTTATTTCATCATTTGCAGCTGCTGCTGTAACAATTAATTGCTCACTCCTAATCAGATCATAGATGTTTTTCCAGCCACACTTCATCTCACCTCCCATGCTGCGGCTGCACCAGAGGTTTGATTTCCAGCCTCTGGGCCATCTGCAAGCACAGGGAGAGCTTTTGGCTGTTCCCAAGGCATGTGCCACTCAAGCAACTAATAAA